ACAGCAGCAACAGCAACAGCAACAAACCAGTCTGCCCCTCTGTCGTACCCTTGTCTTGGGCTTCGGGTGAGCCAGATCAACCTGGGTATCGGGCACAGGGCAGGCCGCCGAAGTAGTAGAGACCGATGATGGGAAGCACGATGGCCTTGCATCTCGAGGCCAGGTTGCAGCTGCATGAGGCATAGGATGTGTCGGATGAGGGTAGTGGTGGCCTTTTGTGACATCGTATGATTCCACCTGCCCCAGGTTGATGTTGCCATGTGTTGGATTGCGTGGGTAGTGAAAGGACAAGAGGCACGATCTGCGTCCTTCCACCTCTACAATGACATTAAACGTTTAATTCAAGCTGGGGCCATGCTTGCAAGTTCAAGTGCCGCCCCCCTGCCTTCGGCTTTAAGGACATGGGTTTAGTGTGCTTTCTTCCAGGCCCGCTTCTCCCGTACATCGTCGGCGAATGCAAGACCATTCTGGCCGGGCGTACTTGGGTACGCCTTTCACCAGTTTCGACTGCTTGAGGACAAGCTTTCAGGTCCGTCTAAGCATGTGCTACATCGCTAGCAGTCAGGAAATTTCAGTTCGAACAAAAATCAAGTTGGAACATGCTTCATGCTTTGATCGTCTTGATCGTTGAGAGCAGCGCCGCCATCACGACAAACAGCGCAAACACAAGCGCCAAGTAACCACCCCTCCATCGGACACCGCAGCAACAAATGCAGAATGCTTGCTTGCCTCACTACCACACAAGGAGCTTTAATATACAAGCTGGATTTGTTGAACGGACGTCAGCTGCTCCGGCACGGAGTCGCTTAATTCAGGCCATCCCACCTGGCATCGCCACCCCAAGATATGATAGATCCATCACTGAGGATAGCAGCGAATGCACGGCTCGAAGCCTGGACATGCTGCACGTCCTTCAGCTTCTCCTGAACCGAGTTGCTGTAACTACACAGAGTAGAATCGCCCCAAGTCACGATGGATCCAGTATTCAAGATCGCAGCAAATGCACGATTTGTGGCCTGGATGTGTTGCACGCCCTTCAGCTGATCCTGAACGGCACGACTGTCGCCACCCCAACCAACATGGCCCCAAGTCACAACAGACCCATCGGTGAGGATCGCAGCAAAGGCACGATTTGTGGCCTGGACCTGCTGCACATTTTTGAGCTGCTCCTGGACGCAGCGGCAGTCGCCACCCCAGCCAGCATGGCCCCAGGTCACAACAGATCCATCACTAAGGATCGCAGCGAATGCACCAATGGTGGCCTCGATGTGCTGCACGTCCTTCAGCTGCGCCTTGACAGAGCTGCTGTCGCCACCACAACCGGCGTGGCCCCAAGTTGCGACGGATCCATCACTGAGAACCGCCGCAAAAGCGTAATTAGTAGCCTGGATCTGTTGCACGGCCCTGAGCCGATCTTGGACACAGCCGCTGTCACCGCCCCAACCAGCATGGCCCCAAGTTGCAACAGATCCGTCATATAGGATTGCAGCGAATGCGCCAATCGTGGCCTCGATCTGGTGCACTGCTTTCAACTGATCCTGAACGGAGCTGCTGTCGCCACCCCAACCAGCAGAACCCCAAGTCACGACAGATCTGTCACTGAGGATCGCAGCGAACGCCTCGTGTGTGGCCTCGATGTGCTGCACGTCCTTCAATAGCTCCTTGACGGAGCTACTGTCACCACCGCAACCTGCGTGGCCCCAAGTTGCCACGGCTCCATCGGCAAGGATTGCAGCGAACGCGCGATTTGTGGACTGGATCTGTTGCACGGTCCTGAGCTGGTCTTTGACAGAGCTGCTGTCGCCACCATCGTCAGCATGGCCCCAAGTCACAACAGATCCATCGCTGAGGAGAGCCGCAAAACCCCTTTCAGTAGAAGCCAGGGACAGTTGTCGAAAGTGTAAGAGCAAGTCCTCTCCGGTCTTGATGCCTGCTTGGTCGAGTGTAGCTTCTTCTCGAAGCACTTCCAAAGCAGTATTCACCAGTCTGCCACTTCCAGTTTGCAAGGCATTCTGTGCCTGGAGTCGGAGCTCGCCTACGGTACAATTGCCTTTGCAGCTAATCCACACAGCTCTCCCGCTCATGAGACCCACGCGGACGGAGATCGACATGGCTCTTGTGGCCTTGCAAGAAGCTACCGATCCTTTGTCCCATCTCTCATCTCTGTCAGTCCGAACTTGAACCACGGACTTTCAGAGATAACCTGTGAATCAAACGACCTCCTTCGCTACACAACTGAATCCGAAGTTGTGTGAATTCGGGTCCGCACGTGGATTGGGTAGGTCTTCTGCATGAAGCGATAGAACCACCTCGTGCATCACTGTTGCATCAGCTTTTGCAACAGTTTGTTGGGATGGCGCGACTGGCAAACACTTTTACATCGAACACCCATGTGCTGAAAAGAATCGGTAATAACTTGTGCAGACTGTACTGCAGCACTGCTAGAGACAAACGCAGGAGGGTGAAGGAAGGATACTGATACTGGCTGCTTCAGACCTCGGAGTGACGCATGGCACTCCTGGTACACCGAAAGGGGGCTCCTGGCATACTTTGGGGATGGACATAGCTACTTCAAAATCTATCTGCCCCACACCGGGGGCGGCTAACAAGCCCCATGTACATTGACATACATCTCCCAACGACTGAATCACGATCGTGGGGCAGGCTCTGCTGCTGCACACAACAACCCTCCGTCAATTACCGAGAGTTTGTGCCAGCACCCACACGTGACAAACTCGTCTCTGTTGCATGACTTGCCGTCCTGCAAGACTACTGCTGATTCGTCCAACAGCCCATACCATATTAGAGGTGGTTCTCGCCAATTGCCGCCAAGCTGCTGCTTGCTCAGGTCTTCGGCGTTGGAGCGGTCCACCCTCATCCACGTGCCCTGCTCCAAGAGCGCTGTCGCTTGTGCAGCACTTGTTCGGCCAGACAGCAGGACAGGGGACGAGGGGATGCACATACAAAGACAATTTGAATGACAGGTCAGTAGATGCATCAATGGACGGATTCGATGCATCCGGCTCAGCCTATCTAGGCGGGCCCATGCAAAGCATACGGGTATTTCAGAAAACGAAGGGACCCTACAGAAATATGTAACCGTATGATCCTTGTTTGAACTTATTACATAATAGAAAGATGCATAATTATTAACGGTACCCCTGATTGCAATAACGCTTTGATTTGTTGATTGTAAGAATCCGCTACGCGCTGAACCGCTGAGCCCTGTACATACTCCATGAAGCCCGTAAAGGGCCTTGTCAAGCCCGATGAACAACCTGAAAACATCCCATAAGCCCCCATAGTCCGGTCCTTAAAAGAAGCCCCATAGCAGAAGATATCAGCACGAAGATCCAAATCCGTACTGAAGCGACGTTGCTCTAGCCGGCTCCTGCCTTCTGGTCGAGCAGCCATCCGGCATGGGACCACCAAAAGCCATCTTTCGGGGAGTGCACATCGTTGGCCGTGTCCTTTCAGCGCTTCGCGTCGCTTAGGGTTTTTCGGCTTACTGTTGGGTTTAAGGAGTGGGGGTCTCGGTCTAGGCTCTGCTTTAGCTGTCGAGTTGTTTGTAGGGGGCGAGAGACCACGGTGCCGAGCTAAATGCAAAACATGCTGTAAAGAAAAACTGGACGACATGAGAGGCCAAACAGAAGAGGTTGTTCACGCAAGGCAATATGATGAGGGCCCGGTCTTGATACACCAGGTGCTTTGGTCAGATGGGCCAATGACGCATTTTCAACTTTCCCGCAAAAATGCCAACTGAAAGATGACACAAGTGTTTGCAAGGTAGAAGTGGTTTGCGATGAATCCATCTTTGACCCTTTCCCTTCACAGAGTGTCGCCGCCTGCCCCACTGTCACAGCTATGCCGAGGTGCAGTGGCGCCGTGATGATGTCGATGAGAGGACACCTCAACACGCAGCACTCCCGTTAGGCGCAGGAACGCAGAGGCTGCAAAATAAGCCCGGAATCTGCAAGCTTGGCCGGGGCACCCAGTTGATTGGATGGCTTTGCACCGCCAAGGATCCACAGTAGGCAAGGAAGTACTCCACGATCTCAGTTGCAGGCTGTCTGGACTGACAATCCTTTCTAGCAGCAGTGACAGCGATGCTTTCTGCGACATGTCTTGGCTTTGATGCAAGTCACCTTTGGGCTCTTGAAGGAGAGGTGGGCAAGCTGCCGATGGTACGACAGCGTAATGCCGAGCATTCCGGTAATGACCTGAACTGCCAAGAGCGGTCCGGAAACGCAGGATCCCTGGCCCCAGCTTTGACTGCAGATGACCAGTGAGTTATCCCCTCTGTCGTGCGACCGAGCTGCATAGCCGACAAAGAAGCAGGCAAAGGCCTTCCACGTGAAGTAAAATGGTGCGAAGCAGGCTCCTGCGATCAGGTGTAGCGGAGCTCCTTAAGGAAACTGCTGCCCAGAACAGAGACTCACGCTTCAGGCTCAGATGGCTCCAAGCTTGTAGACCCTCTGGTAGACTCATGAGATATGCGAGCAAGGGCCGGGAAGGAATGACTTCCAACACAATCCAGCACAATGGAGCATTAGACAAATTCCGTAGCCTCCTAAAGCCACACAGGACCTGTACCGAAGACTCCATGGTCAACGCCGCAGTGTGTGACGAGCCATATGCTTGAACTCCCAAGACTAAGACATTCCCAGGCCCGACATGCCTACGTGGATCGCGCCTCGGGAGACGGGCAGGTCAAGAGTTTCCAGTGCAAGGAGCTCACAGTACTGTTGATGATATAAATCCTGCAGTACCTTAAGGACCCTAAACTATGGGAGTTATGGTATATATACCTGAAGAAGGGTAATGCAGGATTTATATCATCAACCGCATGTCATGTTCGAAGAACTCCAGCTGCGTGCAACAAATTCCGAAATCATGCAGTTGGCATCGATAAATGAATTAGTTAACATGCATTCGGCCAAGCTAAACGTGACAACTGAAGCTGCATCGCAGTAGCCAAAGAAGAGAGCGTAGAGGAAGTCCTGCAGGCTGGTCAGGGACTCTGACCGACAGGACACACACATCCACACACTCTCGCACACAGACACGCCGAGAAGAACTTTGCTTAGAGAGCATTCGCTCCACTAGAGTAGAGTCTTGGATTCCAAAACTTTTCAATGTGGTGTGGACAGGTGGCACGCAGCAGGTGCAAGGATTGCTGGTTTCAGTCGTCGTCCTTTCTGGCACGTCCCTGCCATTGCATTACGAACCGAGGGAGCCTTGAGCCCAGTCTCTCCAAGAGCTTAAGCTAAGCTGAACCAGTATAGACGATGAATACACACTGCGCGAAAAGGGCCTCAAACCGAAAGGGCGCATTGAATCGGGAACCAATAGGGGTTCGTAGTGATGATTAGCAGAAGCGAGTGCATGGAGTGGGACCCGAACAGAATGCCTTCTTCTCCCACTGGCGACGGAAGTACGTGCGTGGCCTTGAAGGGGCACATGCTGAGCCATTCCAGGAATCATGCTGTCAATCTGGGATGAGTCTGCTGACGGCTGCAGTTTTGGGTTTCCACGAACGTTAACGTCGCATCCACAGCAGGCACGAGCGACCCATGACCACCAAACCATCCAGCCTGACACGCCTTCATTCATATCCCGAACCCAAAAGGCCAACGGGCCTGTCATGAGCACGGAAACCAAAGCCTCTCCCCTGTTGAACATCCGGACATTCTAAGGACAAGGCCAATTCACGAAGTCCCAGAACTTGCGGTTGCGGGTACTGAAGAACCTGCGTTCAGGGCTGCTTGGGGTACTAGGTCTCGGCTCGCATGGTGCTGGGGCAACCAGACTCAAAACTGAGACTTCAACGAAGGGCATGGAGATTGACATGCTAGTAATTGTAGTAGTACTCACGTCGCCTCCTACCTGCTATCGGGCTACATGCCCACAAATAAATGCGCACGTGCAACTATCGTGCACAGGCACAGGCATGCATGCATGTACAAGAGTGCGACGAAAATACCGCTGACGAACTTGCTTGCCCTGCCTCTGCCCTTTCTCTCCTCCACGCACCCGCTTAGCACCCTTCTTGCGCTCCTGGAGGGTGTGGACACTAGGGACTTCTCAAGGACGCTTGCAATGAAGTACACACTGCTGTGTTCAACGAACAGTCCAGAGTCCCGGCTTCAAGGTAGAAGTCGTAAGACTGTACCAGCAGGGTTAAGTACTGTCTCGGGACCGGGTATCCATCACCTGGACATCTGCATCTCAGATTTCACAGCCACCTGTCAGTCACGAACTGCAATTCAAACTCCCTGGACTCAACTTCGAGACAAACTGCTTGATGCATAAGCTGGGTGGAGAAAAAACTCCGTGCACGTCACCGCGGACGTTGTTTTGTACGACAAGTGGCACGTGTTCTCAGTCATGACATGTTCGGCAGCTCCAGCATGCACAGTCTCTTCAACTGCAGCCCTCGCATTGCATTCCGCATCAAAAGCTCAGCTCTTTCTCCTCGAAAATTTGCTTGCACTAAACCCGACAGACTTCGAGATGGTAACAGGCTTGCACTTTGGACAACTGTACCCAAGCTTGACAAGGACCGTGCAGTTCACGCATTCCACAGATTCCTGCTTGAGCTTCCCGAGAAGAGCCCAGACTTCCCGCCCCTAGCGAATTTCCCATGTCATACAACGCCAGACTTCATTGCCAGCTCCTCGCGAACAGCATCGGCAGTCTCCGGTGCTTCCATGTTGCGAAGCATTGGCTTCTTGCTGCCCTTCCATGTCAGGGAACGGGAAGCTGTGGCCACTGTCGGAACTGTCCTAACCCAGGCGGCCTTTGCTGCCAAGGCCACTCTGCTGTACTTTCGCATGGCCAAGGCCGCCATGGCGGTGGCAGCTGCCTCAGGGCTCGGTTTTCGTGCGTCTGTCAAGGGGGAGTTTTCGAGTCAAGCTTTTCGGGCTGAGGGAAGGGGGGTAGCAGAGTGGCAACCTCCTGTCACAGACTGCCAACAAGATTGGACGAGGACACAAACTCCGTCAATTTCAAGTCTCTGGACAGCAAGTCTGAAGCTCGAATACCCAGATCTTCGGCGAAACAGGATGATCGAGTAAAAGACTGGAAGGAGATCTTAGCATGCCTCAAGAGCTACCGTGACATCTCAACTGAACCACCAGTCGTCCGGAAACCTCCGACAGTTCATTCGAATCTCTGCGATCGCTTATATCTTGCTACTCTTCTCTATACAAACAGACAGCTGTGTGCTCAAACATGATACGGTTACATGGATATATGTATAAACATATTACATATGTGTATATATATATGCATACATATGCTTCTGCACACACACACACACACCGAGACACAAACACAGAGACACACACCGAGATCTCTCTCTCTCTCTCTCCCTTTCTTTCTTTATTTCTTTCCTTCTGTCTTTCGCTCTCTCTCGCTCCCGGGCATGAGGGACGGTCAAGTCCCTCGGGCATCAAGCCCACCCGATCTTTGCCGGGATAGAGGGAGCGACGAACGAACGTAGTTCCCCCATAGGCTAAAGCCATATAAAGTATACGATAGCAGGGAATCAGTGAACGTACATTCTCATCGACATTGCTTCTGAGTAAGGGCTTGCCATATATCCAGGTAAACGAAGTAAAGCACCAGTTAAGAATAGAAAGTCAATGGCAGCCTTTTTTGTTCCCTGGAAATTTCCTGTGGCTCCGACTTTACAAGTCAAGGATCAGATCCCGTGGAATTGGGGAATCTCAGAAGGGAGAACACATGTCTTTCTTTCGTTTTGTTTTTTTTTCTCTCTCTCTCTCTCTCTCTCTCTGTCTCCCTCCCTGTTGTTCCTTCGGGCGTAAGGGCCGTCCAAAGCCCCCCGGCCGCTAGGGGCCCCCACTTTTCACTCCCTCTCTCGTTCTCTCTCTCGCTCTCTGTGCCTCTCTCTCTCTTGCTTGCTTGCTCTTTGCTTTGCTTTGCTTTGCTTTGCTTGGGG